CGTCGTCCCTCGGGGGTTCTTCCGCGCACCCGCCTCTGGGCGCCGAGGGGCTCGCAGCGGCGGGAGGGCCGAGGTCTTTCTCCGGCGCCTCTCCTCTCACGACGGGGTTGCTTCCTCCGTGCCGGGGCTGCCTCGCGGTGTCTTTGCCCGCAGCCTGGCGGTCTTCAGCAGTGCAGAAGCCCCGAGTTGGGGCTGGCAGCTTGTCGGCCGGTCCTGCCCTGAAGCCGGCCCCGTCTGAGAGGAGGTGGGATGCTTCTGGGCGATAGGCCCCGAGGGAATGGCCTCAAGCTGCCCAGGGCAGGGTCAGGCTGGCTCTGAGGAAGGATTTCTGTGCAGAAGGGGCTGTTGGGCGTTGGAATGGGCTGCCCAGGGCAGGGGGGGAGTCCCCATCCCTGGAGGGGTTGAAGAGTCGGGCTGAGCCAGCGCTGAGGGATCTGGGGGAGTTGGGAGCAGTCAGGGGGAGGGTCATGGTTGGACTAGAGGAGCTTCGAGGGCTTTTCCAACCGAGATGATTCTGTGGGCTATGCACGCAGGTGAAGGCGTGCGTTTCTCTACTACCCCAATGATGAAAGGCAAAAGTTAATAACTAATCTGTAACTTTAAGACTCTGAGCCTGTTGCCCACCTAGCTGCAGAGAACTGATGAAAACAGCAGTTCTTCGAAGATAAACATGCCTGGAAGACAGTAGGATTATATGGAGACTGGTTCTGACCACCCGGAAACCATCTGAACCCCCCGACCTTTTCTCGGAAGACTCACGTGTGTGTATGTATATACTGGCTATATAGCCTGAGGGCTTTTAACTCGTGTGTGTGTGTGTGTGTGCGTGTGTGTGTGTGCGTGCATTGGGAGGAGAGATCACACACACACACACCTGGTGCTGTAATAAATGAATACCTGCTTAGTAACTCCCGTTATTGAGTTTTCACGACGTTACCAGGAAGACCCAAGGGCTTTGTCACACTCCATTTCTCTCCTTTGTCTCACTTGGGACCAGCAATGATGCCTCGTGGTGACAGGTTGGAGGAGGTGGTGGTTGTGGGTGACAGCCCTCCCTGGCCCAGCCCCATTTTGTTCAGAGGGTCTGAAAGAGCAGTTGGTAGCCTGTACTTTCATGCACACTTACTAAATTATTTTTATTAGGGATTTTTGGCGGGGGGAGATGCTGTGTCACCACATGAATCTCTTGTTCTGTCATTGGCTTAACCATATTGACACCAGAAGTTTGAATTCATATTTGCTGAAAAGGGACTCTTGGAGTGCTGTGCCCACAGCCTGGCACACGGGGAGGTTTGGCTGGCAAATCTGAGCAGTGCAACAGGCATCAGTGCACCCGTGACATGCTTTGAGCTGAAGGAGTCACCGTGTCTGGCAATCCCAGGCCAGAAGGTGCTGCTGCTCCCCCAGAGAAACTGTGAGGATGCTGGGTTTTAGAACCGTGGGACAGGGATTTCATCTTCTTGGCAAAGCAGCTTTGTGAATTGTTCTGCTGTGTGAAAAGCCAGCGCTGGCCTTTTCTCCGCTGACTAAAGCTGACAGCAGCCTGGCTTGCATGCTGCTGAGGAACCCTTTGTCAAGACACAAGACAAGCCAGCAGAGCTCACACCGCCCTCAGTGCTGCTGATGCAGCCTCTTGATCTTTGCTGGAGGAGGGCTCAGGCTGCCATTTCTACTGAGGACCCTGGCTTGGATTAGAAATAGTGTGACCAGCAGAAGCAGGGAGGTGACAGTCCCCCTGTGCTCTGCACTGGTGAGGCCACACCTGGAGTGTTGTGTCCAGTTTTGGGCACCTCAATGTGAGAGAGATCTCGAGGGGCTGGAGCGAGTGCAGAGGAGGGCAACGCGGCTGGGGAAGGGCCTGGAGAATAAATCCTGTGAGGAGCCATTGAAGGAGCTGGGAGTGTTCAGTGTGAGGAGGAGGAGGCTGAGGGGAGACCTCATCCCTCTCTGCAGCTCCTGACAGGACATTGCAGAGGGGTTGGTGCTGGTCTCTTCTCACAGGGGATTAGTGACAGAACAAGAGGGAACGGCTTTAAACTGCAACAGAGGAGGGTCAGACTGGACACGAGGAAAAAACGTTTCCCAGACAGAGTGGTCAGAAAGTGGAACAGGCTGCCCAGGGAGGGGGAGTCCCCATCCCGGGGGATGTTTAAGGGTCATTTGGATGTGGTGGGATGTGGTGTAGGGGAGAGCTTTATAGAGTAGGGCTGATGGTTGGACTCAATGATCCCAAGGGTCTTTTCCAACCTGAATGATTCTGTGACACAGCTCGGGCTGCTATTTCTACCCCCTGCCTTGCTGTAGCAATCCTCCTTCTCACCCACTGCTGTTACTTTGTCATACCATCCCATTCACTATTGCACTGCATCTCTTTGGGAACTAGAGCAATGGTAGCGATTTTAGTGTACAACTAAAATGTAATAGAATTTAGAACCAAATAGAATATTTTCAGTTGGAAGGGACCTACAAAAATCATCTAGTCCAACTGCCTGACCACTTCAGGGTTGACCAAAATTTAAAGCATGTAATTAAGGGCACTGCCCCTAACATTGACGGGCCTGGGACATTGGCCATCTCTCTAGGAAGCCTGTTCCAGTCTTTGACCATTCTCCTGATAAAGAAACGTTTCCTAATGTCCAATCTGAACCTTTTCTAATCCAGATTTGAGCTATTCTGTGTGTCTTGTCACCGGATCCCAAGTAGAAGAGATCAGTACCTCCCTCTCCACATCCCCTCCTCAGGAAGCTGCAGAGATCAGTGAGGTCACCCCTCAGTCTCCTTTTCTCCAAACTAGACAGACCTGGAGTCCTGAGCCACTCCTCACAGGATATTCTTTCCAGCTCCTTGGCCATATTGGTTGCTCTCCTCTGGATGCATTCAAGGACCTTCACATCCTTCTCAAATGGTGGGGCCCAGAACTGCACAGAGTACTCAAGATGAGGCCTCACCAACACTGAATACACGGGATAATGCCTTCCTTTGACCGAGCAGCTGGTTATGCTGTGTTTGATGGCCCCCCAGACGTGATTTGCCCTTTTGGCTGCCAGGGCACACCGCTGGCTCTACTGAGCTGCTGCCATCCAGCACCCCCAGATCCCTTTCTGCAGGGCTGTCTCAAGCCACTTGCCTCCCAGTTTATGCTTGTGCCCACTGTAACTCAATCCCAGGTGCAGAATCCAGCATTTGTTCTTGTTAAATTTCATCCCATTAATGGTTGCTCAATGTTTCAGTCTACCTAGATCCCTCTGCAAGGCCTCTGCAAGGTCTCCCAGTTTGGTATCATCAGCCAACTTGCTAATGGTGCGTTAAACTCCTGCATCCAGATCCTGATACATTGAACAGAACTGGCTCTAGAATTTAATCCTGCGGAACACCACTGGTGTCTAGTCACCAGCCACATGTAGCCCCATTCACTACAACCCTTCAAGCTCTGCCCTTCAGTCAGTTCTTCACGCAGCGCACCATGAACCTGCTCATCCCACATATGGAGAACTGGTACAGAAGGATGCTGTGAGGGACAGTATCAAAAGCCACACCAAAATACATAAAAACACCCCCCCCATCCTCTGGATGTTAACTCAAAGCCTTTGGAGAGTGACAACATCTAACTGCATATTATTCAACTTGGCCAGATCTGGTAGCTCAAGGATCCATTGCCTGCATCTGTGCAATCACTGGCACAGCACTCCTTGTTGAACAGTTTAAAAAATCTAGTGCTTTGGACATCTACAAGTTACTGAGGCAATGTCACCACAGCAAATATATCACTATGAGCAGCGTAATACACTGAGCCCTGCTATTCTACTCCCTTTACCTGGGGAAGGAACTCCCTATCATGATTGCGTACTAACAGCCTGTGAAGCTGGAAAGGCTGGAGGAGATTGAACAGATGTGCTGTTTCTAGATTCCAATCTGGAACAATTTGCAGACAGGTCCTCGTATTACCTGAACGACAACTGTGTTGTGGGTTATTCAGTAATTACAGTGGAGTAGT